CTGGACATGAGATCAAATGGAAGGCAACAGAAAGTAAAGCTCCATACGGTGACAGCACAAGGAAGTTGAAGATTAGGGAGGCCATTGACATAATTGTGGAGAAAAATCTAATAAACAGGAGATTGGAGGAAGATAGAGTTAGTGATAACCTTGCCTACTGCCTAAGCCAACTCGCGAAACACAAGAATAGAGCAAGACCAGCAAAAGGGAGACGCCTGGATCAAGGATCTATCGCTAACCGGAGGAAAAGGATCGCGATGAAGAAAGGGGGACGGGGTTTTTCGGCAACAAAGCGAAGACATTGTCATTGCGTGGTCTCGATTTCGAATAAACCAGTACAACTTTTGGGGCCTGGCAGTTAGGGATCTTGGCAGACGGATAAGAAAACCGTCACAGAAATTCACTTTATGACCAACATAGACTAGAAATCCACTTGAGATGCCGCATTCGACCAGAGATAGGCGGCCACAGTTTGCTCAGATAACATGGGTTTAATCAAGAACGGGACCTGTGAAGGGAAGGCCTGATATCAGCAAACATGGGAATCAGAGCTTATGCGCTCTGCTCAGTGAAGCGGCTGTTTATGTGCTTCTAGGGCCTTGAGAAATAGTGCCTGGAGTGAAATGTACAAGGGACTGGAACCGAGTGAAATCGGTCAACCAGAAAGAGAATGAACGGATCTACGGGACTATGAGGGGATCCGGATTGAAGGCCCTAGTCGGATCAGCCATTCGAAAGAGAGGGGTCGGGGTAGATAGCAAGTGTGATGAGGCCACACTAGATTTGCCACAAAAGGGCACACATTTTGACGAGTGGTATGTGAGCAAGTGAGAAGTTGTGATTGGGTGGCAATGGGCTTAGAGGGTAAAAAGTGTATAGATAGGCCAAGAAAGAAAGAGGAGTGATAGTGTAACCGTTTTCGGAAGAACGTTTGTCGAGGGAATGACTTCACTTGTCTCTTTGACAAGTTCGTAGCTTGGTGTGGAGAATGACAAAACTCACTGATGATGCCGGCGAAACGTTTGAGAAGGTATCAAGTCCACTGTTTGATGCTGGTAATCATGACAACTACTATGGCAGACGACTTCGGACTAGTATGCATTCTACTCAGTCGCCCTAACAACAAGGCCAAGTTTAGACAACGAGGTTAATCCACTTTTAGTTTCATGGTATTGATAATTTAAATTCATTTGAAGTGCGGCATAAGAGGATACTTAAATTGCTCCATTCAAATCCTTGAGACAGGGTTGCATTTGGGTCTTGACTGCTGATTTATGCGAATAGGTCTACTACTCACCTTCCTACGACTCAAATGAATTCAAGTTGAGCATTCGTACGTACTGAAGTGACAGAAAACTTCTTAAAATGAATTCATTTTTTAATAAAAATTCACCTAAAACAAGGCCAAGAATGGTGGCTGGATGTAAGCCTACTTGCTAACTACAACCCAATTTTCCAATTTTAATTAGACATCTCATGATTGCATGGTTACTTCTTGCTTATCCTACATGGT